ACCACTAGAGAAATTAATTGGACTAATTAGACCTATCAAAATTTGTGTTTTACTATTATTATTATTTTTTTTTTGTGGTGCCACAGATACGTTCATTAAAATTAACCAAAAAATTATTGGACCAAAATATGGGTACATTTTTGAAAACTACAAACAATAAAATAAAATAAAGTACTAGGCTTGATAACATTATCAATGAAATAGAATGTACCTATATAAGTTTAAAAATGAATTAAGTAAAATTGAATGGATTTTACAAAATGGATACATTTTACGTTAAGAAAATGGTTATTTTTTTTAATTAAAAAAAGGTACATTTTAAATATAACAAATTTCTATATTTATGATACACTCCTACCCAAAATGTTCACCTACACTCCAAATCGAGCTGTGCTGGCTGACACTAAGAAGGTGACGAAGCTATTAAGTGACTAAATGCAAGAGTGCGCATGGAGCGGAATTGAACTCATTTCACATGATATGTCACAGCATAAGCATAGCACAGTAAAAGTAGAATAAGGATTATACCATCGAAGGTACCCTCCTATACCAACATTTGCCCAGAATCCTCCTCGACATAGAAGATCTGCCACTAACACTTAGAGGGGTGAAAAACAAGGGTGAGTGGGCCTGAAAATAAAGTTTTCTAAAATCTTTTCAAAAATGTATAACCCCTCACCGTAAAACACGTACAGTTTCCAAATATATATACTACATATAGTATGAAAACACTTACCATAAACAGTAATATTTCAGAATTACAGTGAATAGCAATATTTCATATATAAAGCATATAACATCCAGTGATCATAGTATCTCGCATAACGAACATATAATATTTGGTGCTCATTAACATATACTAGCACACAAGGCTCATGCAGAGATATTCTAACATGAACAGGACTGGGTGTAATAACGATTTACACTTTAGTACTACAAATACGTGAAGACTGGCGCTATGTGCATCACGTATGAGTCCTAATTGCCTATAGGAATCTAGGTTAAGACTGGCACCTACAATGGATCAAAAGTGAACATACGGTGCGATGTGAACATACATGTGAAGACTAACCTTGGCCCAGGCAAGCATTAACACTAGTGTAGCATGCATAATGAGCAATTAACATAAATATGATTATGCAACAGTAATTCGATAATTATAGTATAAAATACTATTCATGGCCACAAATATAAATATGGAATCCCATAGTAATACGCATACCTATGCATCCTGTAGGATTTACGATAATTTCATAAATTCTATCAATCCACTAATTCTTATAAACGTTAGTCTAATCTAGGCGTGGCGTAGAAAGTACTTTATTAAATATATATGTATAGGGAAACTAAACAAATATATAATATTTAAAAGCAAAGACCCCCTCACAGTTACTTGCAATGTCACATCCGTTTGAGCTAAGAATGCTGGAATCGCCGAAAGTAATCTCACATAAGTATAATATTTGGACCCATTAGTAAAACTCAACTAAAATGATTAAATTTGGGAAAATGGAGTATTTCACTAAATGGATGCTCAAAACAGACTCGGAGCGTCGAAATTGGCCTAATAGGATTCCCGGGAAAATTTCGTAAAAGTCAATGCAGGAAATATTCTAGAGAATATTCTATATAAATGGGTCGGGTTAGATTTGGTTTGGATCGTGGATTCGAGTTACAGATCTTCTGGTTTTCTTTTTTTTGGGTAATAGGTTGAGTCGATTCGTTTGGGCTCGTAGGTTGCACCCGCAGGACCAATAAAGAAAAAGGTCGGAATTTGTAGGGGAAAGCCAGAAAACTTCCAAGAGCCATAACAGGTTCATTCCTCAACCAAAATCAAAGATTTAAAAGCCAAAATGAAGCTAGGGAGATAAGGATTTAAAATAAACCTAAATGGGACTAAGTCGTGGTTGGAATTGGCAAGAAAATGCCTGCAAAAACTTGGGCTCCTCTCTGAAAAACCAGAGAAAGGCATCCCCGTGTGGTTTCTGTCCCTAAATCCTAAAAACACATGCCTATAACCTCAAAATCTTTCACAAACGATGAAAATGAAGATAGAGAGGGTTCTCGAGGTGTACCCTTGTAAGGAATTCGATAGCTCGCTGAAAAACATGGTGTCAGCGATGGTTTGTTTGATTACAGAGGAGTGATGAAGAAGGGCATTTGGTGGAGTCAAGTTCATCGAAGTGGGGAGGCGAGTGGTGGTGCCTCAGTGGTTGACAGAGAACAAAGGGAGTTTGAGTTAGTTTGAGGGAGGAGAGAGTTAAAGCGAGAGAGATGGGGAGAGTGTTTGAGATGAGAAAGAGATGGGGAAAAAGATAGACAGAGAAAGAAAGAGTTTGAGAGTGTTGGGGAAAGAGTGCCACAGGGTAGGAGAGTGAAGGAAAGGTTGTGTATGGATCCCACTAAACAAAACAATAATAAAATAATGAGGAAATATCCAGGACAGTGAATTTACTAAATTGCCCATCGCTTCGTTGTTCCATAAAATCTCCATCGTAACTTCAATTTTGATTTTGCTTGCGCCCACGTGTTCATAGCAATGAGTACTACATGAATATAGTAAAATAGTAGCTCATACACGTCATGAAATGATGGCCAACAATCTCGCCTCTAAGGGCATTTTCGTCAATTCCTTGTAGAAATAAAATATTGTAAAATTAGGGACGGGTCCTAACAATTAAAGAATGGGTACAGTTAAGATTTTAAAAAATTGAAGAATTATATGAATTGGTATATTTAAGTTAAAAAAATTAATGGGTACAAACTTATTCTAATTTTTTTTTGGGAAATATTTTGAATTGAAAACTAATTAGGAGTTTAATAAGGGTGTGAGTATTAAAACTCTAAATCAATTACTAATTTTATTTTCAAAAATTATGTAACTGACATGTAAATTCAATAATACATTTAGGGAACTGCTAATTTAGTCCCTAAAATATCACCTCAATGGAAATTAGGTCCCTAAACTATTTTTTTTCAAAAAAATCTGTCCTTAAATTATAAAAATCTACCAACTACATCCCTAATATTAGAATCAAAACTACTATATTCAATTTTCTATCAATCTAAGTCATGTTACTTGCATGTGATACACATTGGAGGGTAGATTGATATTTTTTCATGAAGAAATAGTGTGTGGAGTTAAATTTGGGGAGTAACTTAGACTTTATGGGTGTGTTTGTTGCACCGGACTGTCTCGGACTGGACTAGCGGCAGGGACTAAGTTGGACTGGCTTAGACTAGACTAAGCTGGACTAACTTAGTGAAGCGTTTGGTGCAGTGTCGGACTAAGAAGCAGGATAATGAAAACAGGATTATTCACCATATTTGTGTTTGCTTAGACTAGGATTACATTATTGTTCTATTTTAATAGCTCTAATACATGTGTCCAACGCCCTAAAAATTGGAGGGTTTGGAATTGGAATTGGGGTTGGCACAGGTGTAGCAGCATTGAAATTGAAATGGGAGTAACAATCTTACAAATTACTACAAATATTTGGGCACATTGCCCTGAGTTTAATCTCTTGAATTGTTATTGTAATCAATCCACAACTTGCCCTTAAAAGTTGATTTAATTTGTCTTCTTATCACACATTAAACGTCATTAGCCATCAAATACTTATATCAACATAACTTGATCCAAGGATTTCTTAGTCCGACAAATACATCATTCACTAAATTTTCATCCAGGATATTTTACAAAATGCCAGTTAACTATAGTATAGCATTCCAAAGTAGATCTCCATACTTTACAAAATCCTAGTTAACATTAGCCAAAATACGTCATAGTGCAAAGCTAAGTTAGAAGCCATAACCTAAGATTGTATGATTAATAAAATACATCCATGTCTAAGGGCACCACATAATATACTCATCCACTTGCTTTGTCGCTTAAAAGCCTTTGGACGAACACTTTCTTGAGTCCCGAATTGATTGCCCTGAACACTCCCACATTTTGTGGTTTTTCCAAAATAAGAGTTAATGCATCAATTTGATCCATAGGAGAAAGACCCATTGCTTCAAGTTCGTTAGCTATGTCAGTATGATTTGCAGTACCTTGAACTAAAGCTTCAGTTACCATTTGCATCCTCTTCCCAATTTCAGCATAAAATTCTTTCAGTCCACTAATAATTGCCTCGGTTCCATCACTTGAATTTCCCATAGCTCTTTTCCTTTTTCTTTGGCTATTTTCAGATGGGGTGCTTTGATGGCTTTGTTGGTTCATTGAAGATACAACATTTTCACCTCCAATATCACTTGCACCAACCTGATCATGACTTTGTTCCTCCATCATTTCAGCAGGGGTTTCGGCTACATTACCCGTAGCCCGATCTTTTCCAAATATATATGCAAATCTATCGTACAGTGGAAAAGGTTTGCTTCTCCATCCATCAGCTTCTTTATTTTTCTAAGATTATATGAACATAGCAAAACTAAAATTTAGCATACATAACAAATGTAGCAGCAAGAATATAACTAATGTATAAATAAAATAGGATATGAACCTGCACATAAGAAAGCCATGCGTCATCACTGTCAACTTCAACGCACTTTTTGACATCATTCCATGCAAATCCACTTGTGTTTATCATGTCAAGGACCAAACTATATGTTTTTTTCCATTTCTTCAACTTTGACTCAATATGTGGAGTTGCCTTTATATTTGAATTAGGACATAAAACATTGACAGCTTTCGCTATTTCAATCAAAGTACCATGTTTCCCATCGTTGCTTCTGAGCAACAAAATCCTCAAGAACGGATAGTAATACTTCTTCCTCAAATGCTTCCCATTTACGCCTTCTTCCTTTTGGCTCTTGAGAAGCATTCGAATTATTGTGGTTATCCATACCTAAACAAAAAATATTTGAATGTACTAAAATACAATACAAATAATCAATTTGCATAATATCCAATCATTTTAATAATATCCAACATATGCATGATAAAAAGGAAAACTAAAATAAAATCTTATCATTAACACATATAGCTAGTTCAGTTGCTAGTTCCTAATTGCTCTCCACTCATTATACATTTCCTGAGCCATGGCATTCCTCTTTGCAGTCCACTGGTCAGATGTTTCAACACTACCAACATATTCACCTTCTTCTGTATTTTGTCCATCTTCTATTATTGGCACATTCTCCATTGGATCTACAGACATCTCTTGCCTAATAAGATTGTGTAGTAGGCAACAAGCGGTAATTATTCGACCTTGTGTCCTTATCGGATAGAAAGATGGACTCCTTAGTATCCCCCACCTTCCTTTTAGCAAGCCAAAACAACGTTCAATTACATTCCTTGCCTTAGAATGCTTCATGTTAAAATATTCTTCCTTATTAGAAGGTGTTCGTCCTTCCCATTCAGATAAATGATAAGGTATTCCTCTATAGGGTGCAAGGAATCCTTCACCATTTGTATAACCACCATCTACAAGGTAATAATAACCTAATAAAAAAAATACCTTATATTAGTATTTTGTAGTTCACAAACAAAACTAGACCTAACTTACAAAGTTGAGACTAACTAATAATCTTACCCGTTGGTACCTTAAAACCATTAGGCCTAGTAATTGCATCATGTAGCACTCTAGAGTCTAATGCGGAACCCTCCCACCCCGGAAACACATATATGAACTGCATATCTCCTGAACACACACCTAATACATTAGTTGCGACTCGACCCTTTCTATTTCGGTATCTTGGTTTGTCAATTTCAGGTACATGCACATCAATGTGTGTTCCATCTAATGCTCCCAAGCAATTCTAAAAAAAAAAAATAAGCTTTTGTTAATTTATACAAAGGGAATGAAGAGTTAAAGCTTAGGGAAAATGAAAATAATTATCAACATACCTTAAAACATCGCCACCTAGGATCTGTAGAATCAATAGGCACAGGTTGAGGGACTTTTAGTAGGATACCTTGTAATCGCAAAATTCCTTGCAATACACTATTGAAATACCTACTTATAGTCTCTCCCGACCTATAAAATCTACCACCAACACTACGATTCTTAGTATGATGTGCTAGTATTTGTAAAGTCATACACACCTGCTCCTCTACAGAGACCAAACCATCCGTTTTTACCCTCCCATCTTGACGAAGTAAGTCACATAATATGCTAAAAGTCCTTCTATCCATTCTCAATTCGTTGACACATTCAACATCAGTATTCCCTATTATACCATTCAGATAACACAAACTAATCTCTCGTCTAACAAGTGAACGGTTAGTCAAGGTGCGTTGTTCAACATGTCTCTGTTTTGCCCTTAGCATGAGCAACACAAGAATCGTACAAATGCAAATTGTCTCTAAATGAGACATCTCTAACAATAAGATCAATAAAAGCTTCATTCGATCCATATCTATCCAAACAAAAAAAAAAAAGGAAAAAAATATTAAGGACATTATGCTACTGCACGCTTTCCATCTGGCACAAAGAACAAACCAAATAATATAATCCAGCTATGTTATATCAGCTGATAAAACAACATTACCGCAAATATCAAAAGCAAACTGAAACAAGTACAAAATTTCTAGGTATACTTATACCTAGAAAAACAGAAATCATGGAAAAATAGGTAGGGAAATGACAAGTTGCACTTGAACTAATCAATCGTGCAGTGTTTTAGTTTAAAATACAACTCGGGGTGTAGAGAAGAGGGTTTTAAAAAATATGTACGAAAAATCTGAATGAGAGGTTCAAACAAAACATGTCAAACAAATCTGAATGAGAGCTGTCAGATAATATGAAGCAGAAGATTCGAGCAGAATATCAAGCTATCGGTGGAAGCCCAGATAAGCCTCTGCAGTCTAACTATTTTCTAAATATCATAGTTGTGATTGGTGTTTTGGCAATTTTGCCGTCTTTATTCGGAAACTGAGCTTTGATTTTCTGTTTTTCTGTTTTTTATAAATGAGAATTACATTGCTATTATCGATTTTATATTACATATTCATCCATGATTCGTACAATATCAGTACTTGCACACATTCTTTCTTTCACATCGGAGTAAGTTAAGCTTTTGAGAACAGCATGTCATTGAAAACTCATGTTCAGGTAACGTTGCAAGGTGATGTCCAAACCAGGTTGAACTAAAATTTGTGGTCAGGAGCTGTATCTTTGTCCATTTGTTTTCACCTATGAGGAAATGTATCTGATATTTTGAACATTTCTGAATCTATCAGTGGCTATGATTTATGCATTGTTGGAAGAGATGTTTCTCTTAGTCTAGTTGTGCAACTTCCTTTACTGATATTTGGAAAATGTCTTGAGTTTGAATCTTCATCCCTAGTTTAAAATGGACCAAATTCTTTATCGAGATGACCTGTCTAGAATTAGAAATAAAAATATTGAAGCAATCTGAGCTCCAACCATAGGAGAGTGTATAGCTTATTCCTATTTGAGCCACAGCTCCAACCATAGGAGAGTGTATAGCTTATTCCTATCTATGTGTAATTCATTTAGATGAGTCTGCGAAATCCAGAGTCTGCGAAATGCAGAGCTCTTATCAAGAATCCAATGAGTCTGCAAAATCCAAAGTATGGAAGATTGAACACAAGGACCCCTATCACGTCTATTGAAAAATGATTGTTTTTAGAAAGTTGCTAACTTGTACAGTTTTACTAGATGATTGGTCGATTTACTCATACAACAATTTATCATATTCACTAAACAAATTAATATAGGAGTACTTGTAAGTTGTATACACGAGTTACCTAGCAAAGGCAATTTTATAACAACAAAGTTGATCCTTAAGCCACTTTGATTTCTTAAGCCGATAACCATTTACCAAAAGTAACATAATTTGCATTCAACAGATGAACATTCATATGGAAATCCAAAATTAAAGCGAACAAATCAAAGCATTATAACTACCAAAACACAAAAGCCAATGTACTTCCGAATCCTAACAACATCAGATTGAACACAAAAGGATGATAAAGTGAAACACTACCCCATTTTCTCAGCTCAATTCTCAACTGCCAAACCCAGTTTCATGTTTCATCTCACTTACATCTGCTTTTGCAGCAGCAAACTCCTAAAATAGGATTTAATCCAAATAAAACCCACATATGATTTCTTAAGCCGATAACCATTTACCAAAAGTAACATAATTTGCATTCAACAGATGAACATTCATATGGAAATCCAAAATTAAAGCGAACAAATCAAAGCATTATAACTACCAAAACACAAAAGCCAATGTACTTCCGAATCTTAACAACATCATAATCAACATACCCAACATGCTAAGCAGGCTACTTCTACCAAGGTTGCAGATTGACAGTGAATTTTAGTGAAGTTCAGATGCTCTAATCAATCTCAATTTGACCTAAAAATCAAAACCCTAATTTGTTCAAGTGCAGAGGTCTAGGATTCAAAACTTCTCAAACCCAAAACAACAAAATCAAATAAAGCTCAGTAATATCACGATTTGCAAAACAAATGACGAAATAAATCGAAGATTCGAAGTTTACCAGACAACTCGGAGCAGATGAGGGCGAGCAGATGCAGATGCGGGAAGACGTAGAGATGAGGGTGAGGAAGATGCAGAGATGAGGGTGAGGAAGACAACGATGAGCGAGGGCAAGCCGACGATGAGGGAAGACGACGATGAGCGAGGGCAAGGAGGACGAGCAGGAAGTCACCCTCGCGATTTTCTCTGGGCTTACGAGTCCGCCCAATTTCGGGGATCCTGGTTAAGACCTCGTAAGGAGGTGTTTAATCCGAGCGAATCCCACCTAATCTCATTAAACCAAATCCTGCAGCAGACCAAACAAGGGACTATAGTCCAGTCCAGTCCAGTCCTCCTTAATCCTATCAAACAAACGGGCCCTATATTCACAACCTATATGAAATGTTAAGGGCTCATAGGCGAGAAAATGATGGTATTATACTCTAAAGTGTGTCAAGTGACTTAAGTTGATGAAAAATTGGATAAAATAGCTCTAAATATAATAGTAAGGATGAAATTATCAATTTTAATGAATTTAGGGACTTATTTTATTGAAAAAAAAAAAATCTAGGGACCTAATTTCCACTGAGGTGATAGTTCAAGGACTAAATTGGCACTTCACCTATACATTTATATCAGGGACTTTGATTAAATACCGAAAACCACCGAACCATTTAATGTCATTCCAAATTGGTCTTAGCATTTTTTATCATTCCAAACAAGTACGCAACCTATTGAAAATGTTGCTTCCATTGAGCTCCAGCTAAAATATGTTAAAATAACTAGGGTATACTTTGTCTCCAAAATCAATAGAAGGTCATGAAAGTATAGCCTCTACCAACTAACAGTCACCACCATCCCCATCATGCCATCACCTCCAATCCCAACGCAAAACAACCAAGTCCACCTTAAAATTCAAGTCGTCAATATCGAGAAGAAGGTCATGAAGGTTGCTGAAATAGTATGGACTGCCATGTTGCAGCCGCCACCATCTTCACCACCTACAAAGAAGAACTAAAAGCTTTATGAGCCGAGGATCAGTGTACGAGGAAAACACATGAGCAGAAACAAGCTTCTTAAAACCCTATCTGAATTCTTAACCCTCTCCTTTGTTAGAAGATTGTCGTCCTGATATAATTTCAATTTGGGTAAATTTTCGATTCAATTCAAAACCCGTTTGATCATTGGGTTCCATATTGTATAATCTATGTTTGAAATTTAGATTTTGAGGCAACTCATATTAATGTTGACCATGATATACCTAGTTTGTGGGTTTTGAATATAATTTATGTTTTAAAAATTTAATTGGGGCTTAATGGATGTGACATTTTTAATAGGTTGGGTACTTGTTTGGAATGTTTAAAAAGAGAGACCAATTTGGAATGATGCTAAAAGGTTGGGAGCTTTTAGGTACTTAAATCTTATTCTTAATGTATGTTGTATTTTCAAAATAGGATTCCTTGGATGCCAAATATTTTATTTCTTACATATTTTTGTACACGTGACAATTATAACTATGTGGAGGCGTGTTTCCTTAAGATGACACTAAAACAATTATAATTTGTTATTATATATGGAGTTAATTCCAATACATAATCAATCCCAAGTTGGAACCGAAATTTTTTATGACTTTAAAGAGGTCCGACTTTAAGAAGGTTATTCTATCATAGAGGATTACTTTAGACTTTAGAGAGGTTTTACTCTATACATACATATACATATTTACCCTATACATACATATACATATTTACTCTATACATACATACATACATACATATATATATATATATACATACATACATACATACACATATATATATATATAGGGAATTGCTATTAGCACTCCAAAAATCTTATTTGGTACTCCAAACTTTCAATAAATAGAAAGAAAAATACACTTATGAGGAGTGTAGAATGAGATTTTTGGAGTACTAATAACGATATTTATATATACTAAAACCCAAACTCTCGGTTACTATTCATTAATAGTAAAATGGCGAAAATGACCCTCAATTTTTTCATCCTCTTCGTTTTGATGATGCATTTCTACAGTAATGTGACCATTTTGCCCTTTTGGTTCTACATGTCTTTCATCGCTAGGTGCTTTGGCTTTGATTGTTCGAGATATTTCTTTCTGTTTTCTCTCCTGACTTCAGGCTGGTTTGGTATTGCTGTGCTTTGAAAAGAAGTTGCTTCTGCTGTGCTGTGAGAATAAGCAGTTGTGAAATAAAGCAGCAAAGTGTTTGGTAAACTTTTTTGTAAAAGTGCTTTTGAAAAAAAAAAAGCAGTATTATAGTGTTTGGTAAACTTTTCTGTAAAATAGATGTGAAAAAAAGCCAATTTTTCAAAGCTGGGTTTTGCAACTTCTTGTTTTTGGCTTTTTTTTCACCCAAAAATGTGAAAAAAAGCTGAAGCTGAATGTTTCCTAAACACAAAAAGGCTTCCCAGCTGTTTTTGATACCAGCTTTTTTCAGAATCACCTCAGTACCAAACCAGGTCTTCCCCTCCCATGTATAACCTAGCTTCCCTACCGCGATCTCGCCTTCGATTCCAACAAGTTCGATCAATCTCGCCCCTCAATTCCCTTCATAATCCTCCTTTTCCGGGCCTCTCTGCCCATCCGTCCTGAACGAAACCACAGATCGACTGCTTCCCCTGAAATCAAACCCTAATTTTGCCCCCAAATGAATTCAAACGCAGCCAAACTCGAATCCCTGCAAATGTTTTTTCTTTTAAAAGGTTTGGATCGGTGCCGATTAATGTTGGATTTTGTAAGGCTGGATTTCTTACCTCTAAGTTTTGTTGGTGAGTTTTTAAGTTTTTTTATTAATTATGTTTTAACTTTTTTGTGGTAGTTTTTTATGTTGAGATGATTAGTGGTCAATTTTTTTATTTTTTTTAATTTGATTGTGGGTATTTTCTCTATGTGGCACGGTGTGTCTCGAAATCACCACCAATGGAAGGTAATTTGAGAATCGTGTAAGATTAATCCTCAAATTTCGAATATGTTTTTTTTTTTTTTTTTGATTTCTCTTAATGCATGTTTAATATTTGAGTTCATGGATGTGATTTCAAACGGATTTCAAGCTGGATTGCCTAGATAAGTAAGTTATTATTGAAAGAAAAAATGGATAAAAATCAAAGTCGCACAGTATTTGGTATACTTTCTGTGTAAGGGAGCCGAAATTATAGTAATCTTCCTTTTATTTGATAGTTGTGGTAGGTATAATATTATGGTTTTCCTATCTGTTAATAGGGGTTTGGGAGTTCACTAAAATTGCTTCGAATTTGCTTTAGTTTTGATCAGAAGAGGAGGCACAGGCAGCTGGTTTGGAGACTTGGCTCGATTTTCAACGGGGGACAAAGATTCAGATGGTATACTCTACTTCTATTTGTCCATTTCTTTGTGTAATTCAATTCAATGCTCTTTGTTTTCATGAAACTAAATGCGTAGTAGTGATACTAATATTCAAATCTCTAGATGCATGTGCTTCTTCTTCAGATGTAGCACATTCGATAGATAATAAAGCTGTAAAATTGCACATTCGATAAAACATCCTGTCTTCCTTTGCCGATAAGCCGAATGATTATGAGCTTCTAATCCTTTGAGCAGTATTTTTACCAATTTTTTTTTTTTTTTTTTGTTGAGTAAACCAATTCTTTTTTATTAAAGGAAAGAATGCTTTTACCAAATCGCTTACAAAATGCATAAAGATGCTCACCTGTATACAGGTTTTCTACAAAAGATCATCCTATTTTTCAATGCATAGTCAATCAGTGGTCCAAATT